GAGCGCATGCCCGACGAGGTCCTCGAAGAGCTCGCTGCACACATGAACTATTCCGAGGCCACCCTCACGTGGCCATATCAAACGCAGCTGATCATCGTGAAACTCCTTCCCAAGAAGACAGACGGCGACAGGATCATCGGCCTCGCGTCCCTCGTGGGAAGGTTGCGGTCGTCAGTGCGAGAGGCACGCGTTCGCAACTGGGCCAGCGTTGCCGAGGAGGGATGCGGCGCGGCCGCCCCCGGCAATGCCTCTTTCCAGGAGGCCTTCTTCGGGGTCGGGGCGCGAGACGACGAGGTCGCAGCCGCCATGGAGCTTGCCCCAGCCCACGGCATGCTGGACATCCGACGCTTCTACGACGCGATCCAATGGGACCTCCTGCTGGACCCGGCCCTGCGCCTCGGGTGCCCGCCTGCGGTTTCGTTTTTCTGGAGATGGCCCAGTGCGGCTCCGCGGGCGCTGGAACAGTTCGGCGCCGTGCGGGAACCTTTGCATGTCCAGCATTCCATCATCAAGGTTTGATTCGCCCAGTGCATGACACACTGTATTATCAATAAAACTTCGTCAGTCCACGTTCATTTGAGTCACCGCATTTGGGTGGAGGATATGTCGCAACGCATGTCGGGTCCGACTGGTCTCCTTCGTGCCAAGGTCACGGCGCGTTTGGCAGACGCGTGCGATGAGCTGGCCGCATGGAAGCTGGGCGCCTCGCCCAAGTCGGTCAGTGCTTGGTCTTTCCATGTCGGTGCTAAGGCATTTTTTAGCAATTGTGCGCTCGTAGGTTTTAAGCGCGTGCCTTCCTGGGCGTGGACCAAGGAGGCGGCGTGGCGCGCGCCGGGCAGACCAGATGGAAGCGCATGGCCCAACATTTCAAATTGCATGGGGAGAATGTGCGTTACACACGGGCCGCCAAAGCCCATCGAGTCACCGGCCGCTTGGAACTCACCAGCGACGCAGCGGCAGGGTTTTACGGATACCACATTCATGGGGCATTTGGTTCTCAGCTGGAGCATTTGCGAAGGAGTTAGTTTAGCAGCAGTCCTCAACGACGGGAGTAGGGGCTCGTGCAAGAGCACGCTCACGGCCATCAAGGAACCCAGACAAGACCCTGGCATCACGTATCCCCACGAGTGTGTCGAGTTCTGGCTTAACCAATGGATTGGGAGCCCTTCCATACGCAAGTAAGTGCATCATGTGTGCGGGGTTCGGTGGTGGCCGAGCTCCAAGCCTTACCCTCGGGCAGGCGCTCTCGGCGTGCGCGCGGGCCCATATCGGCAGTCATTTCGTACCTCCAGGAGAGGAACTGGGAACCTCGCACACCCACGCTGTGGATCAGGCCCGACGGCACCGAGTGGCAGTTCCCCGAGGAGAGGTACTCGGACATCACGGTGCTCAATGGCATGCAGCAATGTTTCGTGGACTTCAACAAGGCTTCCGAGGCGTTCCTGTGGGTCCGCGCCGAGCAGCAATTCTGCGGATGTGGCATCAGCCAGGGCGCGGACATGACGTCCTTGCGCCAGTTGCTGAAGAACCTCGAGGCCACCCCGAATGGGAAGCAGCTCGCCGAGTTGCTCGTGACAGTGGCTGGAGGAGGGAGCTGGCCCCGCCAGAGGCGAGCGGAGGCCGCGACTCTTTCCACAATCGATGTTGTGTTTCCTAGGTGCCGCCGTTTCCCCGAGACGGCTTTCCACAGGATATGGAGGTGCGAGTTCAATCGTGGCGAGCTTCCGTACGAGAAGTTGGGACACCTCATGGTCCAACCCCAGACCCAGCACGAAGCGGACGAAGCTATATGATTGAGGGGCTCACTTCCAGCTCATCGTGCCCAGGTACCCGCCCCGTCGCAGGATGAGAGCTGGTGGGGCAGTAGCTTCGAGGACGGCATCTTCGAGGGCTGCTTGGGGCCAGGCTCCGCAGCCAGGCCAGTCCTGCTCTTCGGCGACGCCAGTGGTGGAGAGGATTCGGCCCCTCATCGTTTCCGTCGAGTCGGAGTTGGGCTTGCGCAGTTCAATGGCGAGTTGAGCACGAATATCATTCGCAACGTCTCGGGTACCCTGCCAGACCAGCAGCAGTCAATTCCCCGAGGCGAGCTATTCATGGTTCTGTGCTAACTGAGATGGGCCAGCGGTCATGTGATTTATGCGACCGGCAACAAGGCAGTGTTTGATGGTTGGCGCAACTATCGTTACGACACACCTTCGGGCGATAACGGGGGACCTTTGAGCCGAGATCGGCCTGATTGTGCGATGTCGCGAGAGAGGTCATACCGTTGTGCTGTTCACTGACAGTCAGCTCGATGCCAAGGACGTGGTCGAGGGGAGGGGCCAGTCCTGGGTGGTTCGTGGCAACCTCGTGGCCGACTGCATGGCGTCGTGGGGAGCGGCACGGCACAGGCTCCCGCACAGCATGCGCACCCCCATCCTCGCTCTTGAGCATCAATTATGTTGGGTTCGTATACGCATCCGGAGAGCATCCCTGGACTCTCTTGCTGCTGAGGACACGTTTCCGAGTGAAGCCGACCCATCTGTTTTTAGGCGTGGCAGGTATGGACGGAAAGGGCGTAAGGCCCCTGCCGGGCCCGTGGCTGGCGAGAGTGTTGGAGAAAGGTCCGCCCTCCCGTCCGTGCCCGCAGCCCCCCCGTCTGCCGTAGTGCCGCCTCCACCGTCGACGGAGAGCCTCTCCGTGTTTGGGACCAGTCACATGTTGGATCACTCTGGTCGCCGACGTCGCCTCTGTCGAGGTGCCGCAGCTGTGTCCCTGGCCTGTGTCTGGAGACCGGCAGTGTTTCAACTCAATGGCTATTGACGGCTCCCTCAGAGGGCTTCTCCAGGGGGCGAGGATACGCATTGCTGGGGGGTGGAATTACCCCTCCCACAAAATGCGGTGCACCAGGATCTCAATGTATGGTTCTGCGCGTCTTGTGGTATGTATGGGGGCAGGCAGTTGCTGGGGCCCGGTAAATTCTGCCCCGAATTCGTGTCTCCCTCTCGTGCTGAGTACCTCAAGCGTATCGAGCAAGGGTTGATCCCCAAGGCTTACAGTAAAAAACCGAGCTCGATACGAAGGCCCACACGGGGTCGTGAGGTTGTTATTTGGACTTAGACCTGGCACTCCTGATTTCTGACTCCTCCTCCTCCAAGATACGTAGCTCCACTTTTCCGATTGCGCGTCAAATGTTGTGGCATTTGAAGGACTTCCAGGCCTGCTATGGCACCGCCCGCTATGGCAGCGCCATGGGAAGGGATGGGATGGGAGGTGTCAGATATGGCGCGAAAACTATTACCTTGCACTCACCTCTGACCTCTCCCTCCTTCTCCTCCTGCTCCTCTCCGTCCAATCCATCCCGTTGCCCCCTCCCGCTCCCCCTCGCCCTTGACCATCCGCACTCCATCCTGCCGCCACCCCACCACCTCCTCCTCCTGGAGGGGGGATGGGGATGGAGGGGAGAGGGGGTGGAGGAAGACGGAGTGGGAGGGAGGCCATCTGAGACATCTGCGGGCCTCCTCCTTCTCCTTCTGCCGCCTTCCTCATCGTTCCTCCTCCTACTCCTCATCTTCCTCCATTTCCTCCCTCCGTCCACTGCTACCTCAGTCATTCCTCTCCTCCTTCTCCCCCACTTGCTTCTCAGTATCTGTCTTCATCATCACCCCCCACGCCGCCCCTGCCCCCTCTCCTCATTCCGCTCATCATCCTCATTTCTCCCCCCTCCCTCTTCATTCCTCCTCCCTCGTCATCCGTCCTCCTCTTCCACTCCTGTCCACGATGGGATGGAGAGGGGAAGGGTATGGTGACAGGGATGGAAAAGGAGATGGGGGAGGGGAAGGGACAATCCCAAGCGCGACGGGCTATCGGGCCGCTGCCGGCCATACGTCAGCCGATGGAGGTCGATGCATCCCCCACTGAGATCCCCCTAACGTTGCCACGCAATGCTGTGGAATAGAACTAGCGGAGATGGGGGGGCAATGGAGGGTGGGGAGGGAACCCTGAGATCCGACGTCTGGGGAAATCCAGCATCGTTCGAATCACGACAAGAGCTCCGAAGACCCTAGCTCTCTGCGGCACTTCTCGAACCAGATCGATACGTGAGGGCCCAGGGGCCCGAATCTGGGCGACAACGCCTGCTGTGAAAGAAATCGCATCGCCTAGATCTACGGGAAGAGGGGAGACCCAACATTCTGACTCAACCAACCTTTCAAGACAACTGAACCCCTCCAACCCACCCAACCCTCGAACCCCTCCAGCCCGCCCAACCCTCCAACCGACCCAACTCCCAACCACCCAACGTACCCAACCCGCCGAAACAACCACTGCAACCCCCGACCATCCTGAACACCCATTCCACCCGCCCCGCCACTCTTGAGGGGAAAGGGGCCGCAGCGGGGAGGGTCAGGGCCCCCTCCCCCTTCGCCCCCCGCCAGGGCGAGGTGAAGTGCCCTTCACCCCCGTCGCCCAACCCGCCCCACCCCCCCGCCGTCCCAAACTCGGAACACGGCGAGTTGAGACAACGGCAACTCAAGGTCGGTCCCCAGAACCCCCACGGCGAGCCGAGTCCACCCGTGGCGACGAAGGGGGCAACCCGAAGGCCAAGAACCGTCGTCTCAACTCGCCCACCTTTGAAAACCACCAAATCCACCAAACTGTCCCAGGAAGGCGGGGGCATGAATTGAGCAGGGACCGACCGTCCCGGCATTTCTATACGCCTACCACGACACTTTTTTAGAACCCCCAAAATGTTCTAAGGACAAAACGATGTTCTTAGAACATAAGCCCGATGTATTAAAACAAGACAGACTCAGCCAGAAATGTTCTGAGAACATTTCGTGGAAACCACAAACAATGATTAGAACATCGTTTGGTGGGCCTATAGGCGAGCCAAGACGCTTCGCTACTGCTCGAATGAACGCGCGGCACCTGGCAGACACGGGGTACGCGCAGCCCCCCAAAACTTCTGGCCCCGCGGCCGGCCCGCCAGGAACGGCGCGCCCGCGGCGCGCATCCGCGACCTCTGCCCGCTCGAACGCGTGGCGAACCTGCGCCACGCCGACCGTCCGCTCGTGCAAGGGGTGGATGCCCGCCTGGGCCGCCTCCTCATGCTTCCTCCTCCTCCTCCTGCTCCTCCTTCCCCCTCCTGTTCCCCCGCCCCCCGCCCCCGCTCCTCCTCCTCCTCTTCCTCCTCCTCCTCCTGCTCCTCCTCCTCCTCCTTCGCCTCCTCCTGCTCTCTCCTTTTCCTCCTGCTCCTCCCTCCCCTCCTCCTGCTCCACCTCACCCCACACGTTCCTGCGCCTCTTCCCCCTGCTCCTGCTGCTCCTGGTCCTCCTGTTACTCCTTCTCCTGCCATTCGTCCGCCTCCCCCGTCTGCCCCAACTCACCACCCCCTGTTCCCTTTGCTGTTTTCCATCCTCCTCCTCCTCCTCCTCCTCCTACTCCTCCTCCTTTTCCTCCACGTCCTCCTCCTCCTCCTCCTCAACCTCCTCCTCCTTCTCCTCCTCCACCTCCTCTCCTCCTCCTCCTCCTCCACCTCCGTCCTCCCCCCTCCTAGTCATCCTCTTCCTCCCTGTCCATTCATTTCCCTACATCATTCCTCTTTCCCCCTTTTCAATTCATGTCCCCCCTTCGCCCCTCACCCAAACGCGCGCGTAGACCCCAGGCCCACCCCCCGGTTGTGCTAGACTCTCCCGAATGGTGACCCCCTCCTTCCCCTACCAGGAAGGCGTCCCCTAGATCAGTGTCGCCGACAGAACCCACTGGGTCCCAACATCGCGCCCGGAGGCCCCTAAGAACCCGGTTTCATGAGAGAACGCCAAGGGCCATCGCTGGCGTGGGCGCGGGAGACTGGCGGCAGTTGCGCCCATGGCGGCGCCTAGCTTGGACGTGCCCGAGAGGGCACTCCTCTGGAACCCCAAGGGGCGCAGGAAAGCGGCGGCAATGGCACGCAACGCTTGCACCCAGAGAGGGAGAGGTCCGACTTGATTCTGAATGAAATATTCGCCCCTAGGATTGGGTCGGACGAGAGGTGGGGGGGGGTAGCAGCAAACCGGCCCATTTTCGGTACATGTCGGACAAACTCTGCCATCTCATACCTTGATCGTGACATGTTCAGGCCTGCATCTGTGCGGGCCCGTGCCCCCCAACAGCGCATGTACGCGGAGATCCGCCACTGGGCCGCGAAGCGCGAAGTGGAGTCAATGTCCTCATGCGTCTTCCGTCTTCTGCACCCAGGACGCAGGGCTGACTCAGGGCTTATCATATTATCAAGGGTGGGCTCCCCAAGTCCAGAATTTCCTGGGCGTTCCCGCGCGTTCGTGGGCTGCCCCGCTCGACTTTTCCAGAGGCCGGAGGGCCCCAAGACGGGCCGGGCCCAGAGGGCCCCAGAAAACGCCCAAGAAGGTCCAAGAGGCTTCCAAGACAGCCCAAGGGCGCTCCAAGACGGCCCCAAGACGGCCCAAGCGGACAGGTAGAAACCTTAAGAGCGCTCCAAGAGGACCCCCGAGAGGGCCCAAAGAGGCAAACATCATTGATGTTCTGGTTTTGTTCTATATATGTTTCGCGTTCTCGCGTTTTCCGGCTTTCGACGCTGCAAAATGGCCCGAGAGGCCCTCAAGACCGCCCCAAGACAGCCCAAGAGGCCCCCACGAGGACCCCAATACAAGTCGAGCGGGCCCCAAAACGGCCCAAAAGGCGCCCAATATCGCCCAAGAAGGCCCCGAAAAAGGAACACGAACCGACAATCCGAGCCTTCCGCCCCAAGAGGCCCCCAGCCTGGGAGGCCCCAGGAGGCCCCCAAGAGATCCCAAGAGGCCCCCTAGAAGCCCCAAGAAGCCCACAAGAGGCCCCCCTCAACAAAAACTCGAAGGCCACCAAACGGCTCCCAAAAGGCCTCATAACTGTTTCCAAGAGACCCCCGAGAGGCCTCCCAATATAAGTATTCAAGCGAGCGTCCAAGAGGCCCCGAGCCCACAACCCAGGCACGGAGGCGGGATGGGCCAAAGGCCACGTAGTAATGGAAACAATAATGACGATCAATGTTCGGAGATGAATGACGGGGATGATGCGATAGACGATGGATGATGACGATGACGAGGTGGATGATGGATCCCGATCGAAGAATGTTCAGTTACGCGCGCCAAGAGTGTGTCGATACCGCACACGGATAGCCGAAAAACACAAGTGTCATTTGCCAAGGTGGGTGTGTCAGTGTGCATGTGCCCCACAGATGAACTGCGTTGATGGCTTTGAAGAGAGAACTGATGCCGCGCTGATGGCTGCTGGCCCGCCAGATTCCTTGCGAGGGTCAGGCGTTTGAAAACTGCTGAAAGCACAGGTGATGTACCAATCGCGCGGGTAGCTTCGAATGGCTTCAACTGGCACCGTGGGCAAGAGCCTTGCGCTGCAACTTGGCTGGGAGCCTCGGGCTGCGAACCCCACGCTGCGACTTGGCTGTAAGCCTCGCCCTGCGATTTGGCTGGGAACCTCGCTTCCACGGCATGGTGAAGGGCTTTTCGCATCACCCGAACGCTCTTTGCTGCCACTGTATATGTGGTCCGCCTGGGTCATCGGCTCAACGGGCAGTTCGGCGAGGGCGGACAGCGGCGCCGTGGGCCCGCGCGCCTCGATCAACGCGCCGCACGCCAGGGTTGGAAAACGCCCCCGGCGACGGCGCCTTCCCAAGAGCACGGCAGCGGCGCCTTTCGCGCCTTGCGCGGGACGGGCGGCGCCCTGGGCCCCCGGCGACCTCGCGAGCCTCGCCTCGCTTGCGGCCGCCTCCAAGGCTGCGCGCACAAAGCCGGCGCGGGCGACTCTGAGGTTTGCCGGCCCCCCCCCCCGGCCCCCGATGTTGGCGTTCGAGCGGGGAGGTGAACGCGGGCCCCCGATATTGGCGCTTGGGTGTTGGCCGCGGGATGCCGTCGCCGAAGTGGCGTTTGAACGGCGCCGGCCGCGGCAATTGGCCGGGGCTTGCGTTGTCGGGGGGCGGGGCGCGAGGACGAGGGGGGGCCCCCGCGCCGAGGAGGTGAAGGGGAGACGAGGAGGAGGCGGAGGAGGAGGAGGAGGAGGAGGATAAGAGCCGCCTGCGGCGCTGGCAGGGCGGCCGCGGGAACTGCGGCCGCGACGTCCGCGTGGGCGGCGGGCTCGGACCCGGCCAAGGGGCCGCGTGAGCCGCTGGGGCACGACGGCAATCGCGTGGGCGTTGGAGACGTGGCCCCCTCGGCCTCAGGCTGGGCCCCAATTTTCTGGGCACCTGGGAGGATCGATCGAGCCTGTCCCTGAGGAGCGCAACGCAATCTCGACACACATCATCCGCCAAAGAAACACTGCGACGGATACTTCGCAAACCAGCGCTGATGGGGAAACCCGATGTAAGCTTGCGTTGGACAACTTAATGAGGATGGCCGAGCAGCGGGGCCACGCGCTCTCCAAAAATGAGGGTCGACGACGAGAAGCACTTGAAGTGGGACAGCCCACCTCTATTTGAGAAAGGCCTCTCTCGGGCGTCTTTTGCCGGGCCCACGCGGTCGGCCCATCGACCATGGTAATCATGAACGAACTCGGAACTGTGAAGATCAAGACGACCCTTGTTCAAGAACCTCTTCTGCGCGTCTTCGGTCGAAAGATCGATGATCTTGCCTTGTCCCCGCTTCCCGCCATGTTGGGCGCAGTGGTGAGACCAACCAAGCCAAGAAATCAATCCCGAACATCAACTGATCAGAAGGGTCCTCACGTCGGTGCTCTCGTCCGAGTTGGTGCCATCTTTTCGCTCTCACTGGCGACCAAGACGCATAGAATAATGACGAACTCCCATGGCCCCACTTGAACCACGCACGAAACTCAGCACGACGCAGAGCGTCGATGTTTGTGCTCAGGGCCTCCCCCCCCAGTTATACGGGGTCGAAACAATCGGCCCGCATGGCGCGAAACACAACGGTTTTACACTCATTGTTCTTCGCCCATGGGATCATTTTTGTTCCGAAACGCTCGAACCTGGAGACCTTCGCCTGGGAAAGGGAGGCGTTTGGCTGGAAACCTTCGCCTTGGAAAGGGCCGTCGCTGCCTGCGGGGGCGCGCGGGAACGCACGGGATTGCGAGGTATGACTGCAATCGCTCGTGAGATTAGAGATGGCGTTGGTGGGGAAAGAGAAACAATGACAACGATGACGGTGATGACGACGGCGACGACGACGACGACGATGATGATGATGAAGAAGAAGGCGATGATGTCGACGGTGATGGTGGTGATGCTGATGACGGTAGCAAGGCAAGTATGCTGATGATGGTGAGGATGAGGATGGGGATGACGATGGTGACGGTGATGACCTTGGTGATGACGGTAACGAGGATGACGATGATGACGGCGAGGATGAGGATCAGGATGACGATGCTGGTAACGATGATGACGAGGCGCACACATCTGCATGCATGCAGGTCTGCACGGGGCGCAAACGGAACAGATTTTGCACACTTTGCTCGACATGTGCCGTAGCTTGTTTGCCCACCGCCCCTCGGAGATTGAGGCGCCCATGTATCGAAGAAGGCGCCGTGCGGCGGGTACCCAAGCGGGGGGAAAGAAGTTGGGGCACCGGGTAACTGGAACGCTTGGTTGGGGTGGGGCCATGGGGCGGGGGTGCACTGCGGTCACCATAACGTACGCGCACGTGGGGGAATCCAGCGCCCAGACACGTACGATCGGCACCGTTACCCAGGCGGCCCCAGCATCGAATCGACAAGTCGAATCGGATCGACCCTAACATCGACTCGGCAGAAATCGGCTGACGCATTGAATCGGCAAAAGCCTGCAGGGCCGAAACGGATCGAATCGAAAACTGGATCGGCAGGGCCCCCTCCGGGAGGGGGCCGCAGGGAACCGATCCTCTGACCCCCACGACAGCGGCGGCGGCGGCAGCGGCGACAGCGGCGGCGGCGGACGCGGCGGCGGCGACGACGGCGAGGGCGAGGGCGGCGAGACACCAGGGTGAGATCTGGTCCAGCGTCGGCGCGTCGTCGGGACGCTACAGGGGTGCTCGACCTCGTCCTCGTCCTCTTCTTCTTCCTCCTCCTCCTCCTCGTCCTCCTCCTCCTCATTCCCCTCCTCATTTGGATTCGCTTCACTCTGCAAATATTGCGTACCGCACGTAACCGCCGCACGTGCAACCGCGTGGAACATAGCACGGCGTAACATATCCATCCGGAGCCAAGCCGGATCGGCACGAATCGGCAGAAATCGGCTGTCACATCGAATCGGCAGGATTCGGATCGGACGAACTCGAAACCGGACTCGCTGGAATCGGCAGCTTGGGAAATCGAATCGAATCGAGCCGGCGGAATCGGAATGAGCCATGCCGTTGCCCACGAGGGGGAAGGGGGGGGCACGGGTAACGACCGTTACGTGCCAGAGGATTAAAAGCGATCTCCCAGGGGGCACTCCCAGCGCGCATAAGAAGGCTGCGCGATAAGGATGCGCGAGCGGGGCGCGGCCAGCGCAAGCGAACAAGGGCGGACCCAAACAGGAAGGATGCAAGAGCAACCCTGGAAAATCGCTCATCCTTACTAAGCGCTGTGACTAGCAAAACCGTGACGCGCCGGGGGAAACACGAGATCTCCGAGCAGGCGGCAGCCTCACGCCCGGCTGGGCCGCACACAAGCGTGTGAAATCTGGATCGGCTCTGCGCGCCGAAGCGGCGCCCCGCCGGGCCCCCCGGGCCAGGGGCGCAGGAAAGCGGCGACGGGTGCGCGTGCAGCAGCATCGACGACACCGCGCCCCTGCGAATTTCGGGGAGCTACTGAGAGAGAGAGAGAGAGAGAGAGAGAAAAAACAAAAAAAAAAAAAAAAAAAAAAACGCGTTTCACGGGCGCTTGCCTGGGGAACATTCGGCGGCGCGTTTCGAACTGGGGGTTGGGCTCCCCCCCCAACACTCGGCGCCGTCGATACAAACAGGGGGGACTCCCCTCCCCCCAAAAAAAACCTTCCCGAACCCCCCACCCCCTCCCAAAGGGGGGGGGTTTAAACCCGCCCCCCCCTCGGCGCAGGCGCCGGCGCTGGCGGCCGCCAGCAGCGCCCACGGCGGGAACGCAGCGACGATGACCAGAGGCAGCCCAGGAGCGGGGGTGGGGGGGGGGGTGAAACTCCCCCCCCCTGGCGCCGGGGGGGGGGTTCACCCCCCCCCCTCGCGCCGGCGCCGGCGCTAGCGGCGGCCAGCAGCGCCGGCGCTGGCGCCGGCGACGGCGGGGACGCAGCAACGCTTACCACCACCACCACCACCACCACTACCACCACCGCCGCCTCAACCCACCACCACCACCACCACCAATAGCACCACACAGCCACCACCACCACCACAACTCACCATCAGCACCACCACAACAAAAACCCACCACAACTACCACCACCACCACCACAATCTACCACACCACCACCACCGCCACCACCGCCACCACTACCGGCAGCACAACCCACCGCCACCACCACAAACCACCACACCACCACCACCACCACCGCCACCACCACCACCACCACACCAAACGTCCACAAACCACCGCCACCACCACAACCCACCACCACGACCACCTCAAACCACCACCACACCACCACCACACCACCACAATCACCACCACCACCACCACAACTCACCATCACCACCACCACCACAAAAACCCATCACCACTACCACCACCACCACCACCACCACAATCTACCACAACACCACCACCATCGCCACAACCACCACCACTACCAGCAGCACAACCCACCACCACCACAAACCACCACACCACCACCACCACCACCACCATCGCTACTACCACCACCAGCACCACCTTCACAAACCACCGCCACGACCACAACCCACCACCACCACCACAAACCAGCACTACACCACCATCAAACCACCACCACTACAACCCACCGCCACGACCACCACAAACCACCACCACACCACCACCAAGCCACCACCACCACCACCACCACCCACCCACCGCCATAACCACCACCACCACAACAAACCACCACACCACCACCACAACCACCACCACCGCCACCAGCACCAGCACCACTACAACCCACCACCACCAGCACCACCGTCGTCCTCATCGACGCTCCCCGCCACCGCCGCCCGCCGCCGCAGGCGCCGGCGCCGGCCCAAAAATGGAAATCGTCGTCCCTGCCGCCGTCGCCAGCCGCCGCCGACGCAAGCGCCGGCCCGAGGAGAGGGGATGCAGAAAGGACAAGGGGGGAGGGGGGGGCGGTTCGAATCCCCCCCCCTTCCATCCAGCGGGGAGGGGTCCGGTTTCAAACCCCCCTGCCCCCTCTAAACGACCGCAGAGCGCGCTCTTTCTACTGAGAGTATACTAAACCGGGTCAACGCAAACCCAGGTCAGTCAGGCTCTGCATGATCCTGCAAGATCCTGCGGGAGCCTGCATGATCTTTCGCGATAGCCTGGGTCAATGCACCCCCAAGCGCGCCTAACTTCGCGCTTCGCGCTGCGCGAATAACTTCGCGCTCTCGCGCCGCCCCCAAAGGAAAAAGAGGATGAGGAGGAACGAAGCCGAACCGCAAAGCGCGAATAAGTTCGCACCCGGCACCCTGGAGAGCGCCCTCGTTGCACTGACCCCCGTCTCAAGGCTCCCGTGGGTACTTTTTTTGTTTGTGGCGGCGCCGTCCATCCCGCGAGGCGCTGTGGAGGCCCAAGCGGGGACTCGCTGCCAGGCGAGTCGAGCACCAGAGAGGCGGAAGCAAGCGGAGGAAGGCGGCTACGGAGAGGAGGAAGGTCAGGCGTTGGCAAAACTAGATTGCTGTCGAGTTACCTGATTTAGTGATGTGTGCCAAGGGATGCCCCGCCCATTCCACTAACCAGAACTGCTGTCACCCGACAAAAATACCAGCTACGGCAGACCTGGTTGAATGATTCTGGCCAATTTGGGGAACTTCGCGGCCCTGTAACTAAATGGGTCCCCTATTTCTGGATATACCAGAGAAGGGTATCCGTACCAGCATACCACGTCCAAACGAAGACGCGCAACACTCCATGGAAACTAATCGCAGGAACGGGCGAACGCACTGGAGAGGAGTAAAAAAGAGGAGAAGAGTGGAAGAGGCGGAAGATATTCAACACTGATGTGAACAAGCACTGCTCCATTCAGAACGGACGGCGAAGGCCCGACCGCAAGGATGGTTGTGGGAACACATCAGGCACGAGAGAACCTCGACTCGTCCTGGAACGGAAGATTCGGCACGCGCCGAGGCGGCCCCGTCAACCTCCCCCCCCCCCTCCCAGTGAGCAGTCGCGGGCAAGTGCCCCCCTACTCTCCCAAGCATGATGCTGATCCAATCTCGGGGATTTACTTACACGGGTCAAAGCAGACCTGGGTCTATGCTTCCCCCTTCAGGGTCGGCGCCCCGGCCGTCCTGCACTTCTGGGCCGCATGAGGGATCAATTTGAAGTGGCCCAGGGACACACACAAATAAATAGACACAGATCCCCAAATTCCCAATATATATTCCATGTCTTCTGGATGTTCGTCTTCCCTTCCACTTCCCGTATTCTCCATATCTTCCTGGGATTCGGCGATTCTGTGCGTCTTCCTGAAAAGCGCGCAGAAAAAGAGAGAGAGAGAGAGAGAGACGAATGACACTGGCATGAAGGAAACGATCCTGAGGGAGAAACGGTTCGGGACCCTGGGGTCCTCCCCCTGGGCAAGCCCTTCGCCCTGAGCCATGTTCGAAACCCCAGGGAGGCCTGAATCCCGAACACGGCGAACAACAATACATGACCCTTTTCATCAAGACCCATGTCCGTCATGGCGGGAGAAAAATAGCGAGGACGAGGAGGAGCAGCGGCAGGAGTAAGACGATGCCAGGACGAAGATCACATCGGGAGAAAACAATTAGCCTGGCGAAGGACCCAACCATATGCAGTTGTGAATGCCGCAATTGTGCTGGGTGGTGGCGGACGCATGCGGGCGGTGCCACTGGGACCTTCGGTGGAGCTCCCTATGGGGCCACGAAACGCTGTACTGGGTGGGTGAGACGCGGTCAGCAAGGGCTGTGCTGCGTGGTGGCGGACGCATGCGAGCGGTGCCACTGGGACCTTCGGTGGAGCTCCCTATGGGGCCACGAAACGCTGTACTGGGTGGGTGAAACGCAGGCAGGGAGCAAGGGCTGTGCAGGGTGGTGGCGGACGCATGCGGGCGGTGCCGCTGGGACCTTTGGTGGAGCTCCCTATAGGGCTACGAAGCGCTGTTCTGGGTGGGTGAAGCGCAGGGAACAAGGGCTGTGCTGGGTGGTGGCGGACGCAAGCGGGCAGTGCCACTGGGACCTTTGGTGGAGCCCCCTATGGGGCCACGAAACGTGCGAGGGGTGTGCCAGAATGGGGTGTGGAACCGCATGCCAGCGCAGCCACTGGGGCCTTCGGTGGAGCTCCCTATGGAGCCACGAAACGTGTGAGGGGTGTGCCGAAATGGGGGGTGGAACCGCATGCGAGCGCAGCCACTGCGGCGTTCGGTGGAGCTCCCTATGGGGCCACGAGACGTGTGAAGGGCGTGCCGAAAAAGGGGGTGGAACCGCATGCGAGCGCAGCCACTGGGGCCTTCGGTGGAGCTCCTATGGGGCCACGAACCGTGTGAGGGGTGTGCCGAAATGGGGGGGGAACCACATGCGAGCGCAGCCACTGGGGCTTCGGTGGAGCTCCCCATGGAGCCACCCACGAAGCGTGTGAGGGGTGTGCCGAAATGGGGGGTGGAACCGCATGCGGGCGCAGCCACTGGGGCCTTCGGTGGAGCTCCCTATGGGGCCACGAAACGTGTGAGGGGTGTGCCAGAATGGGGGGTGGAACCGCATGCGGGCGCAGCCACTGGGGCCTTCGGTGGAGCTCCCTATGGGGCCACGAAACGTGTGAGGGGTGTGCCAGAATGGGGGGTGGAACCGCATGCGGGCGCAGCCACTGGGGCCTTCGGTGGAGCTCCCTATGGGGCCACGAAACGTGTGAGGGGTGTGCCAGAATGGGGGGTGGAACCGCATGCGGGCGCAGCCACTGGGGCCTTCGGTGGAGCTCCCTATGGGGCCACGAAACGTGTGAGGGGTGTGCCAGAATGGGGGGTGGAACCGCATGCGGGCGCAGCCACTGGGGCCTTCGGTGGAGCTCCCTATGGGGCCACGAAACGTGTGAGGGGTGTGCCAGAATGGGGGGTGGAACCGCATGCGGGCGCAGCCACTGGGGCCTTCGGTGGAGCTCCCTATGGGGCCACGAAACGTGTGAGGGGTGTGCCAGAATGGGGGGTGGAACCGCATGCGGGCGCAGCCACTGGGGCCTTCGGTGGAGCTCCCTATGGGGCCACGAAACGTGTGAGGGGTGTGCCAAATGGGGGGTGGAACCGCATGCGGGCGCAGCCACTGGGGCCTTCGGTGGAGCTCCCTATGGGGCCACGAAAACGTGGAACCGCATGCGGGCGCAGACTGGGGCCTTCGGTGGAGCTCCCTATGGGGCCACGAAACGTGTGAGAATGGGGGGTGGAACCGCATGCGGGCGCAGCCACTGGGGCCTTCGGTGGAGCTCCCTATGGGGCCACGAAACGTGTGAGGGGTGTGCCAGAATGGGGGGTGGAACCGCATGCGGGCGCAGCCACTGGGGCCTTCGGTGGAGCTCCCTATGGGGCCACGAAACGTGTGAGGGGTGTGCCAGAATGGGGGGTGGAACCGCATGCGGGCGCAGCCACTGGGGCCTTCGGTGGAGCTCCCTATGGGGCCACGAAACGTGTGAGGGGTGTGCCAGAATGGGGGGTGGAACCGCATGCGGGCGCAGCCACTGGGGCCTTCGGTGGAGCTCCCTATGGGGCCACGAAACGTGTGAGGGGTGTGCCAGAATGGGGGGTGGAACCGCATGCGGGCGCAGCCACTGGGGCCTTCGGTGGAGCTCCCTATGGGGCCACGAAACGTGTGAGGGGTGTGCCAGAATGGGGGGTGGAACCGCATGCGGGCGCAGCCACTGGGGCCTTCGGTGGAGCTCCCTATGGGGCCACGAAAGGGGTGTGCCGTGTGCCAGGGGTGTGGGGCACAGAATGGGGGGTGGAACCGCATGCGGGCGCAGCCACTGGGGCCTTCGGTGGAGCTCCCTATGGGGCCACGAAACGTGTGAGGGGTGTGCCAGAATGGGGGGTGGAACCGCATGCGGGCGCAGCCACTGGGGCCTTCGGTGGAGCTCCCTATGGGGCCACGAAACGTGTGAGGGGTGTGCCAGAATGGGTGTGGGAGGGGGAGGAGGGGGGAGGAAGGGGAGGAGGAGGAAGGAGGAAGGAGGAACGCGGGGCGACGTCTCTTCAAAATGAGGACCCAACACCACAGGATGGTTGGGAAAAAGAACCTCTAAGACCCAGCGGCTCTGGAAGATGTCTCGGGCGCCTTCTCAGAGCATTCCGAACGCTCTGAGAACGTCCGCGAACGCCTTGGAAAGAATCTATCCTTGTCCAAGCCCCGTCCGAAGGAGGCGGCCACCCTCAGGTACGTCTCCCTGTCCTCGTCGAGCTCGTCCTCGTTCTTGCGGCGGGCCGTGCCAGCGCAGCGCTCCCCGTCGGTGAGGGGCAACGCCTGGCCCTCCTCCGGGCCGGCGCACGAAGAGGAGACAGAGACGGGCACGGTGCGCCGCGTGCTGCCCAGAGGGACAGCACAATCGTCCAATGGCCGGTCGACCCGCGTCGTTAGGGAGGAGGCGGGCTCACCAGGAACACGAGTCAGAATGTGCCACATTCGACGGATCAAAAGGTTGCTCTAGTTCCTCGAGTGAACATTGAATGCGGCGCAATCGCGCGGTGGGAGGCCCAACGCTCCTGTGGCGCACAGAACGGAGGCAGCCCTGCGGCCAGGAGCGCCCCCGCACGGAGGGGACCATGGAATATAAAGAGGGAAGGGGTTGGGGTGGAGGGGGGTGGAGGGAAAGGTGGTGGGGGAAGAACCCGAGGGGAAGGCCCCACAGAGAGAAAAGAGCCCACGTGAGCGAGGCGGGGGAAACTGGGGCGGGGTTCGAGAACTAGGGTGGGGGCAGTTGCTCACGTGGAGGAGGAGGACGAGGAGGAGGAAGGAAAGGATAGGCGAAGGAGGAGGAGGAGGAGGAGGAGGAGGAGGAGGAGGGAGGAGGGAGGAGGAGGGAGGAGAGGTCAAGAGAAGGTCGAAAAGCCTAACAAAAACGTGCAGAGCGGAGGGCACGTACAAGGGATCGCGAGACGGGCCAGAGCTCCCCGCACCAGGGGGAGAGGAGGCGGCTGGGCAGGGGGGGCCTCCGGGGCAGGACCCGAACAGAGGAGCTGGGGGCGCCGCGCCAGCGGGGGCGCCGAGGCCGAGGCGTGGGCCAGGACCCGCACGCCCCGCGGGCATCGCGCGGTCCGAGGGGAGGGGTCGTCCCCCTGGGACTACCCTCCCCCCGGACCGCGCAGCGCTTCGCCCGGCTCGCGCTCGCCTGGCTGAGCGCGTCGTTGCTCAGCGCGCGCGCGCCCACACATCCTTCACCTGGCGCATCGAGGACAAGGTACAGACAAAACGCGGCCACCAGAACGCACGTCAAAAAACGAGCCGTTTCGCCGAAAGCCCGGACACCCATGGAGACACCCCAAAGAAGAACAACCCAGGCTGGAAAGGCCAACACACTAATCACTTGAAATGCGCCGCTCCAATGCTAGGATTGCTATGGACCATCGCGTCATCTGTGCGAAAGAGGACAACAACGGCCTCCGATCTAAACACACATCGTTCGTCAGTGGTTCGAGCCTGCGTTTCGATGGGCCTATGTATGCATGTGTATATGTATGTATGTGTGTATGTATGTATGGAGGTCTGTATGTGTGTATGTGTATGGGTGTAGGCATGAATGTATGCATGTATGCACGTGCGTATGAATTTAGTTAAGCATGCATGCATGATTGTATGCTTATGTACATATATATATATATATATGGATATGTGCATGTATGTGTGCATGTATGTATGTATGTGTATATGTAGGTATGTATGTATGTATGTATGTATGCATGTATGTATGTATGTATGTGTGTATGTATGTTTGTATGTATGTATGTATGTATGTGTGTATGTATGTATGTATGTGTGTATATATGTATGAATGCACGTATGAACGTATGTATGCGTGTATGTGTGTATGCATGTGTGTGTCTATGTGTGTAGATGTAGGTACACACTATACATATATATATACGCATGCATGTATGCATGTAAACGTGTATGTGTATGTGTGTATGTGTATGTGTGTATGCACATGTGTATGTGTGGACGTGTGCCTGCATGTATGTATGTGCATGAGTGTATGTATGTATGTGTGTATGCATGTAGGGATGCGTGTATGCATATGTGGGTGCATGCATGCATGCATGCATACGTGTATGTATATATGTGTATGTATGTATGTGTATATAGATAGGTGTGTATGTATGTATGGAAGCATGCATGCATGCATGTATGTATGCATGCATGCATGTATGTATGCATGTGTGTGCATGCATGTATGGATGCATGCATGCATGTATGCATACATGCCTGCATGTATACACATAGGTATGTTTTTACACAGGTATGTAGCTATGCATGCATGTATGGATGTGTGTATGCATGCATTCATGGATGTGTGCATGTATGTATGGATGCATGCATGCATCCATGTATGTATGCATGTACATCTGTAGATGTGTATATGTCTGAATGTTTGCATGTAGTTACGGATTCATGTGTGTATGCATGCATGCATGCACGCATGCACGGATGTATGTATGTATGTATGCATGTATGCATGTATGCATGCATGTAGGTGTGTATGCATGCATGTATGTATGTAGTCGTGTATGTGTGTATGTGTGTATGTGTGTATGTATGTATGTATGTATGTATGTAGGTAGGTAGGTAGGTAGGTAGGTAGGTAGGTATGTATGTGTGTGTATGTTTGTATGTATGTATGTATGTATGTGTATGCATGTATGTATGTATGCATGCATGCATGTATGTATGTACGTATATGGTTGTGGGTGTGGGTATGGGTACGTGCGCATGTATATGTGTATGTGTATGTGTATGTGCGTATGTGCATGTATAGTGTATGTAGGTAGGTCGGTAGGTCTGAACGCGTACGTGCGTGCGTGTGTGTGTGCATGTATGTGTGTATGTATGCGGGTGCATGTAAACGTGTTTGTATGTTTACGTATGTGTTTGTGTCTATGTACGTGTGTCTGTGTGCCTGTCTATCTGACTGTCTGCCTGTGTGTCTGTCTGCCTGTATGCGAATATATATATATATATATATATATATATATATATATATATCAGAAAGAGGGGGCCGAACGGTCATTCATTGTCCGTGGGTACGTGACTGAAGTGGGGATCCGTGGTGAGAATTCTGCTTCTTGCGCTGTTGTTGTTGTTGCGACCTTCCCGCGACCCTACCCGCGACCCACCCGCGACCCACCCCGCGACCCACCCCGCGACCAACCCGCGACCCACCCGCGACCAACCCGCGACCTGACCCGCGACCCGGTCCGCAACCCGGCCCGCGACCCGGCCCGCGACCCGGCCCGCGACCCGGCCCGCGACCCGGCCCGCGACCAACCCCACGACTCACCCCGCGACCTACCGCGACCCACCCAAGACCCACCCGCAACCCACCCGCGACCCGGCCCGCGACCCACCCTGCGACCCACCCGCGACCCACCCGCGACCCACCCGCGACCTGGCCCGCGATCTGGCCCGCGACCTAGCCCGCGACCCACTCAGTGTATAAAATGCGAAATTCGTATACACAGTGCAAAATTCGGAGCCTGCGGCGGGCTGCCTTGCATCAATTTCCGAAAGCGCTCGCGACCCCAACGCTTTCATTCTACAACGTGCTAAAATCGGCGCCTGCGGCGGGCTGGCTTTGTTGTGGGGGGGCGCCCTCGCGACACTCCCGCGTCCCACCAGCGATTCGCCCAGCCTCCAACAAAGAGAGGGCGCCGATCGATCATTCACTGTCCCTGGGTGCGTGGCTGCAGTGGGGGTCCACGGCGAGAATTCTGCTTGTTTTGTTGCGTCGTCCCCCCCGCGACCTGGCCCGCGACCCACCCGCGACACACCCCGCGACCCACCCGCAACCCACCCCGCGACCCGGCCCGCGACCCGCTCGCGACCCACCGTCGACCCAGCGTCAATCCACCCGCGACCCGGCCCTCGACCCACCCGAGACCCACCCCGCGACCCAACGACCCACCCCACGACCCACAAACGACCCATCCGCGACCCACCCCACGACCCGCTTGCGACCCGCTTGCGACCTTCCCGCGACCCACCCGCGACCCACCCGCGACCCGGCCCGCGACCCACCGTCGACCCACCGTCGACCCACCCGCGACCCACCCGCGACCCAACCCGTGATCCACCAATATTGTTTGAGACAAAAAATTGGCTTGCGACCAGGCTAGTCGTATGGCTTGAAAAATTATGCGCCTGCGGCGGGCTTCTTCAGAGGCTCGCAAGCTGCCGACGTCCCCGCCGCCCCCTCACTCGAATCCGCAACTGCGGGGTGCTACGTAAGAATGTCACTGCGCGCGGCCCCTGGATTCCCCAGGTGTCAATTAAACGGGGCAGTGGGCGCCGCAGTCGGCTCCTGCCTGCAGGACAGGTCCAGAGCAGCGCGTACGTCACTTCCTGCCCAAACTCTTGCATGCAAATCCCGGGCCAAGCAGCAACACGTTCAATCGATGTGGGCGGTCCCAAGCTCGTGTAGCCGCGGCCGGTAGCCCGGGAATCCAACCGTTCGATCCAACCCAGGATACGGGTGTGCTCAACCCTAAGGTCTCGATCGACACGCCGCGGCCCTCAAGTGGGGATGAGCCCTGCACGGAGACTCCATCCAGGTTGAGTCCGCGGCCCCTTTCGGGGAACAAGCAATGGCATCAAGATCAGAACTCAGCGGTCCGCGCGGGCCTCCGAGTTTTCTTGCTTATGTCTGGAGGGGGGGCGGGGAGGGAGGAGGACGTAGACGGACGGGCGGGCGGGCTCAGCGGGGGGGCCAGTCGCAAAGAACAAGGCGGCCGAACGGCGGGGGCCCGCCCAGCAGCCCAGCAGAAGGCAGACAGAGGAGGGGAAGGGGCGTCGGAAAAGGAAGAAGCAGGAGGCTGGGGAGAAGGACGGGCAAGAGGGAAGAGGAATTGGAGGGGAAGGAGGAGGATGCGCCCATGGGAGCCACTCCCCAGAAATCTCACGACCGGGAGCGATCCTCCCAGGCCGCCACGATCAGATCAGATCAGAGCATGCGGAAGAAACCACCAGACACTTTCAACTTCTTGGGGTACCCTCGAGGCAGAACCTCAGACAGGAGAAGAAGAAGGGGAGGGAGGGAAGGAATATGGGCGCACTCAGCTCCCTCTCCCCTCCCCCGACCTTTGGCGTGCGCGCAGGCGCGCCATTGCAGCTTTCCCCCCCGACGACGGCGACCTCTGGGGCAACTCCTCCGCCTGGCCCGCTGCTGCTGCTCTGGGCGCTGCCCAGGCTGCTCTTCCAGCTGGAGGCCCGACCGAGGAAGCTCAGCACACACGTGCGCAACAGCTCAGAACCGGCGGGCTCACTGCTCCTCCCTCTCCATCGTGGGCCTCCCCGGAACAGTGAGCACGCGCCGTGATTCACTCTAGAACTGTAGCTGCTCATGCTGCTGCCGCTCCTGCTGCCGCTGCTACCCCCCGCCCCCCCGCGGCAGCGGCGTGAATCGATCCGCGGTGCCCGGGACGCCCTTCTTCCAACGATTCTGCAGCGACCACACCAGCTGGCCGGTATTCAGCAGTCCGCCGATCCTGGCGGAAAGGGGAAAACAGGGGCCGCCCAAGTGGGGTCGTAGTACCGTCATCGAGCCATGGTAAAGAAAAGTTGAATAAGAAACCAACGAACTGTTCTGGCCACGGCGAGCCTGGGCAACGGGTAGGTTTCCCGACCTGTATCTAAAAAAGGCCCAACAGTCATAGCCCCTTCTTGGTCTACGCTTGTCTGCGTGTCCAACTATTGGCTGTATGTGAGGTCGGGAGATCGTGCCGCATCGGCGATAAGGTACGGTCCCCCGACTCCTTCAGCATCTACCAAAGCCCCTATTCTGGGCGGCGACCCAGGAATAGAGGGGTGTTAGCGAGGAGGACGGGAAGCGCGTGTTGTTCCCCAGCGAGACGCGCGCCCGGGCGTGGGACGGACCTTTCCCTGGCGCGCGCTGAGCGCGCACCAAGGGCGGCGCCGCCAGGGGTATCCAGCGCCGACCAAGAAACCCACGCGGACCTTCGAACGGTCATTCTGGCAGGCTTGTTGATTCCTCGGCTCTGGCACAAGACTCTGCCTCTAGAGGAACAAGCACCGAGGTGAGCAGAAAGTCACGGAGGCCCACACGGACTCCACTTCGGTCAGAGCTGGCTCCCCGCACTCCCCTGAGGGGGGACCGAACGGAGGGAGGTGGCAGCGGGGCAGCTCAGGAGGGGAAAATTCGAGTACATCGCCGACAGATTGGCGATATAGGCTCCCGATAGCGAGACCGCACGCTCCAAGGCAGAATGGGCGGTCGGTGCGTTGTTGGAGGAATCATCTTGTCTCCGGGACGCCAACGACACGAACATCAAATGTTGGAGGTCGGCGCGGATTCATTGGACTGGTGCGCTGAACCCTCTCCCTGGCGAGGCGCCGCCGCTTGGGGGAGGGCACGGCGCTGATCCGAGAAATCCAAGCGGAACTCCGAAAATGTAGGCCTGCGCCAGCCTTGCTGGATGGCTGCTGATGTCTTCGCGGAGACATCGCGAAAGGGCACCCTGACGACACAAAGCGTACTGGCGCGAGGCGGGAGGAGGTTGGCGTCCCCCAATGTCCTGTGCTTGACCTCTGGATCCAAGCCAGGGAAGACCTCCCTGCACGCACCTCAGCGTCCCCGCGATCAGTCTGGCTCCCTATGGTGGCGGACGTTTGCATTCAAGCCCCCCACTTTCCTCAAGCATAAGCGTGTGCCCTCGTAACCTGCTCAAGCATTCCATCCGCACCGTTTTTACCCCTCATTATCTTTCCCGCCCTCCGTAACCACTGCGCGCACTCCACGCCCCATACGCAGGAAACAAACACTGGCATTGTCGAAGATCCGCGTGGATTTTTTGAACCGGAGCTGGACCACCCTCCCTGGCGCGCGGAGCGGCGCCAGAGGTGTGCCAGGGGGCTCCGGCGCAGATCCAAGAAATCCGCGCGGAGAACCTAAAGTTTGTGTTTCTACATATTGCTATTCTTGGGAAAAAAATGCCTCATGCTCACTCCGGCCCAGCCGCTTCGCCCTTCCCCTTCCCCTTTCCACTCCCCCCCTGCTCCAAGCAAAGCTCTTCATGTGCTCGCCGCCGAGAATTCGTGACGTATTCCCGCAGCCCATGTCAGAACTGTGACGTCTCGAGTAAGAAAGCGAGGGCACAACGAGCCAGGGCAGGCGCGCCTCGAGTCGGAGCCGTGCAAAGATGTCGGATCATGTCTTACAATTTGTATTCATGAATGTGTATATTTAGAACTTGGAGAGACAAAACGAGAGAGAGAGAGATAGAGAGAGAACGAAGAAGAGAGATATTGTCTCTCGTATGGATTCGGGCTTCCGCCTGAAACATGGGCGTACATCCTTTGCTGACCGGTTCGCGCTCGCAAACCTACCCCGAATCATGACCACTACATTGTGCGCGGTGGCGGTTGCGAATACAGCATCATGCTCATGTCCTGTACCCGATCAAGGCGCTAGTAGCATATTCGCAGCCACAGATATGTATAGACGGTGCACCTGCCAGAAAGAAGAGCTACCCAAAATTTGGGTGCAAAATCCGTTCGTGCACAGAAAACCATGCTCGCCGCCGGGATGTGAACGCGTTACCGAAACTACTCGCATAGCTCTACTCAGCTACACGCGGACGATGATCCTGTCACGATACGATTGGCTCAAAATGCGTTCGCGGAATTCCAGGAATATCTAGCGGCCCTCGTCTTCGCACCTCTGATGAACGCGATACTACATGGTTCTGGACAGGAGCGACCTTTGGTGCATAGCCTGGCGATCGTTGCACGCGATGCGGCAGCCTGGGTCTGGCCCCCCACCCACACCTCCCGAGAGCCACGCACCAAAAGGCGACTCTGGCGAAGGGTCGCTCTCACATTGGCGTGGCCAATGGTTGTTCGACGATGCTACGCTCACTAGGGCTGGGGCTGACGTATGCCTGCACCCTGTCGAAAGTGCCGAGGACAAACGTTGGCGGGTTGTCCTGTAGGCGGCGCAATGCCGAAACACCTGGCGATCATCAAGGAACTCGGTCCGATCCGGTTACGATGAGCCGAACAACGGATGCTCATCAAAAGCGTTGATGCGCTTGTCTGCAAACATCGCCCCGCAGATGCGTCCATCTCAAACTTGCCTCAAGACACTATGTCTCAAGACGACCTCGAAGAGGCGGCAGCGAGAAGCACGTCGGCCGTCGCGGCCCCGTGACGATGATCCCAAGCCAATCCTAAGACACGCATGGGCCAGCAACGCCCACTGCGAAAAAAATGCGACACTCAGAACTCAGGGCCAGCCATCCTATAACCGCGGTCGGATCCCGTTGGCCGTTCGGGACGATCTGGGCACCCTGGGAACGCTCGCGGCGAGGCGAAGCTGCTGGAGAGCACCCCGAGGCTGGATAACCACCGAGAACCGACGAAACCGCTCGAAAACTTCGATCCTGAGGAGGAGGCCCATGCCTGTCTGTCTGTCGTCGTCGTCGCGAATCGAGACTGCTGGGCGTGTTCAGCCTTTCCCGCCGTGCCCGAGGCGACAACACCTCTAAGAACCAACGACAACTCCCAACCTCTGGCCCAGGACCCAGACGTCCGACGGCATGACGTTTTGAAAAGGTAGGTCAGCAATAAAAGGGCCCCTAACCTTTTGGGAGAGGACCTAAGTTAGGTGGGCCAAGATCAGGGATATTGTATTTTCTGCGGCGAGGCGCAGCTGCTAGCGACAAACGCCCAGCTTGGCCTGGCAAGATCAAGCCCCAAGGGGTGCGTGCAAACCGCCTCGTCTCCACGGTCATGGAGAAAGCACAGGGGCCAACCACTTGGCCGCGGACCGCGACGGCTCGCCCGAGCACGGCTCGCCCGAGCCCTGAGCTCACGGATGCTGCGCCGTCAGCCAGTCTCACATGTCTCTGACGGGCGCAGCTTGGAGGGGCGACAACACCTCCAACAACCAACGAAACTCCAAACAACCTCTGGCCCCAGAGCCAGACGTCGCAAGGTGAAAACTCCAAACAATCTTTCGCGTCATCACCAGCCGTCCCGAGAACTCCCGATCCACAGAGGTGGCGAACATCCCGAGGCAGAACAACTGCAACAAACAGCGAACACTCCAAACAAAACCTCTGGTCCCAGACCCAGACGTCCGACGGCATAATTGTTCGACGTAGATTAGCAGTTGAAGGACCCCGAAGCCTTTGGGAGGGGAGCTAAGTTAGGCGTGCGGAGAACATTCGGGATACGACGTCTCTTCTGCGGATGTGTCAAACCAAACCGCCCGGATTTGTGCTCCCTAATGCAAAGACAGGGACCCACATGAGGCGCCGTCTTACATATATGATTAGGGTCTCTGGGCGCAAACCCGACTTGTCTGGCTGATGCTCTGGGGGGGGGGCCTGTGCTCAGGGGAGGCTGCAGCACCACTCAACGATGTGCTGTTTAGCCGAACCTGCAGGGTAAGCCCTTTCCCAAATCCGTGCTTCGGTGCGGATCGTCTGCGCGCCTCGTCTCCGTCGTCGTCGCCGTTGTCGTCGGCGTCGTCGTGGTCGCGGTGTGTGTTGCTCTGCTCGGGACTTGCTTCCCTTATGCCGTGACCACCACCACCATCCTATGAGGGCTAGGTGTTCTTTGATCCTCGATGACACGTGGACCTCCAGCCGTCCCTGGAGCTGGCGTTTCGTCCCGAGTCTGTCTGTCGATGGCCCCGGGGCATGCCGAAGGCCCCGAGGCCGAGAACGTCCAGGCGCATTCTGGCGTGAGGTTCTCAAGGCCCGAGGGGAAGGGGAAGCCTTCGAGATCAGCATGCCGCGGCCTTCCTCCGAGCGCACGGGAGCGGCAACTCTAGCGGGTTTAGCGATGCCCACGAAGCGAACGCCGACGACTGCCCGACGCTGGTTTCGCCTACGGCCACTGGCGGGTACGCCAAGTACGCTCTCCGGTGCCGCCACCGTGGCCAGAGTTGCCTGATAGGGTTTGTCAGCGTCTTCTAAGAAGGACTCACCAAACCTCCCTCACACTTCTGTGTGCATCGTCTCGCTCTCTCGAGGCTGCCTGGCGGACTCCAGGCCTCCCCTCTCCAAGCTACGCCGACACTTTCAAGACGTTCCAGAAGGGCCACCAAGACCGCCAAGATGGCCGAACAATGCCTCAAGGCAAGACATACCCGAGAGGCCCGAAGATGCGCCTAAGAGGTTGCAAGAGGCCACCAACATGCCCCAAGACAACCACAAAACGACCTCGCCTAGGCTCTCGGGAAACTAGAATCCATGTGTTGCAGATACGGGTTTGAAGGCTTTTCGTTTTCCACCACCTTCGGTCGAAGTTTGGTCCACTTGTGGTCTGCGAAAGCCCGTAAGAAACTGAGAGCCCCAAGAGGGCCCCCAGACGGCCGCCAGAGAGCCCCAAGACAAGCTGGCCGAAGAGTCTCTAGAGGGGCCCAAAGTGGCCGAAGAGAGCCCCTTGACGGCGCAAGAAACGCCCAAGCCAGCCCCAAGATATCCTCAAGTCGGCTAGGAGAGCCCCAGTTCCAAGACTGCCCAATATGGCCCCAAGAGGGCCCAAGAGGGCCCCAAGACAACTCAAGAGAGCCCCAAATGATCCCCCAAGACTGCCCCACAGGAGCCCAAGGCAGCCCCAAGACGGCCAAAATAAGCTCCTATGAGAGCACATCAAGAAGTGCAAACGCCATTCTGGGCGGTGCTCGAAGATTCGCCGCAAAGGTTGTCGCCGGCACAGTCGCGGACCTGCCGCATGGACCCAAAATGCCCACACTGAGCCACGCCAGATCCTGACCGGTGCGTACGGTGATATGTTGTTCACTCTCTCTCTCCCTCTCTCTCTCTCTCTCTCCCCTTTTTCCTCCAATACTCAAATATTGCTCAATATAGCCGAAAACGGTTCTAGATAGCTGCCGACATGCCTCATCCAAGAGGCCCCCACCCCAAATGGCCACAAGACAGCTCCAAGTGCTCTCGGAGCCCCCATCAGCCCCACATCAAGAACAACACATCCTTCAACCACCTAGAACAACTGTCTTTGGTTTGCTTTCTCCCTTTGTCGCTTCCGATGGGCTTCTGAAAGATAGCCACAGTATGGCCCCAGGGAGCCCCACGAGGGGCCCAAGAGGCCTCCAAGGCGGCCCCAAGAGCGCCCAACGAGTGCCCAATAATGCCCCAAGAGCGCTGATAGAGGGCGCCAAGAGGCGATTGTGATGGCTCTTGAGAGGGGGCCTCAATGAATCAACCTTCCTTCTTTGATCGATGGCCTTCGAGATGGCCCAACAAGGCCGTCCAAGGCTCCCACGAGGCCCCCACAGAGGCCCCCAACGAGGCCCCAAGGACCGTCAAGAGGCCCCAGAGATTGCCCGAAGAGACCCCAGAGATGACCCGAAGAGGCCCTCAAGGACCACCCCCTTGCTCCCAACGATAAGTCATTGCACCCTGGTTTTGCCCGCTCTGTTTCACTGTATATGTCTCTTACTCCCATTTCCATTCGGCTCTCATGGGCAGTGCGAAGAATTTATACGCCCGAGAAAACTGCAACCCTGGGCCGAAACACTCCCCATCCTCCGTTTTCTCCCGCTGGATCTGGCATGGTCCTGGCTTGCAGAGTCCTCGCTCCCGGGGTGCTGACCTCTCTCTTTCTCTCTCATCCTGTCGCGCTCCCTCCCCTTCTCCCTCCCTCCCTCTTCAGAGCATTAGGCATCCTCAGGTGGTGGATCAGCGCCGACCGCAGATGGCGCCTCAGACGGCCCCAATATCGGGGCGGCAAGATCTTCACATATCCTCGGCCACTAACCAGGCCCATCCTGGGTCCAGGAGCGGTGTATATCCACGGCCCCAGGGCAAGCCCATCCTGGGTCCAAAACCTGCAAACCGTCGCACATCGAAGCTAGCTCCTCTGCCGCAGCGGCGGCGATCGCGCATCGCGATCGAAGCCCCGACCGGGGACACCGCTGTTCAGGCATGTGGTGATGGGCGGTGACCCGCATGGGGGGAAGGGGGGTGAAGAAGGTCCCCTTTAGGGCCCTGTTCTGCACCCCGCACTTCGGTCACCCCCCATCTAAATCACCCCCCACCACCCTCCCCCGACCCTCCGCCGGCCAAAACTCACAGAGCATCCGAGGGTACCCTCCCCAAGATGCACAAAAACGTCCAGCAAACACGAAGAACATCAGGGTATCCTCGCCGAACCGACCTTGATCTTGTGCCTCGGTCCGGCCGTAACATTGGGGGCAGCCAATGCTCATGGTTGTCTTGGGGGGTCTGCCCTCTGGTCGTCCCGAAGGGCCGGCCCCAGAAGAGAGAGGCCCACACCGATGGCCGAGGGGGTCCCGCAAAGAGACCCACATGCCCCTTAGGAGGCAACTCCTGCGAGGTCTTCAAAAATACGATTACGGTAGTTTTGTCGTGCCGACTTCGACATTGGTTCCTGACAACGCAGAAATCGCTCAACGTTGAACGATTGGCCGTTTCCGAAACGTCAGACCGTTTAACATCGACCGATTCTGTGTCGCCGGCGGCGTTCAACGTTGAACGCCAGCGGCGGGGTCACCGCTGGTCGACACGACGCGAACCGACGGTCAGGTATTAAGGCCGATTGCAAGACCGTTAATCTAGATTAGGTCGGATTAAACCAGGGGGGGATTACGCTGGATCAGGCAAGACATAACATGATTTGGCGGGCAAGATTGAACATGATTTGGCAGAATTTGGCGGGACTGTGCTGGATTAGGCTGGTGTTCGCCCCCCCCCCCCCCCCAGAGTTATATCCTACAATCAGAAACTGTATCCTAAGAGAGGGCGCCGAGAGAACACCCGCAGGAGGGCCCCGAAATGCCTCCCAGGAGGGCGGCACCAAAGGGCCGCCTCGCTTCCAGAGGTGCTCGCCGAGGCGGCTCCCGTGGAACGCCCCAGGGCGTTCGTGAAGAGAGGTCCACGAGAGCGGCCTGGCTCCAGGATGTCTCAGACCCTGCCTTCTGGCCCCCTCCCTCCCCTGTGTCCGCACTCGAGGCAGGCCTTCGAGAAGGCGGCGGGGCTCCTCAGAACCCCCCACCCCCCCCTTCTGAGAACCCTCTGCGGTTTCGGAGGAAACTGTGGAAACCTGCCTCAGGCCGGGAGCTCTCTGAACCCGCCGAACAACCTCGCCAAAAATGCCGTTCCCATCGGGCGCGGAGCCGCCTGTGGGGAAACCAACATATACCCAGACCGCTACTCCCCGGACCTCTCCCCGGGTTCGTTTGCAGCAAAAACGTAGGGGTGTCGGTTGTTTCCCGTCGTGGGCGCAGCGTCGTTTGTCCAGCCCCACTCCAAGAGGAGAGAAAGCAACGGGGGAGGCTCCTTGAACCACACGCTGGCCTCACAGATGAGGGCGACCTGGCGGGGGTGTTCCCCCCACGCGAAAGAATAAGGGGCGCGCTTTCCCCACCGCGACCAGGCAAAAAAGCGAGGAAAAATGTGTTCGTCGCCCCGCGCCCTGTTCCTGACGTGTCTCCTCACCCTCTTCCCCCTCCTCCTCCGTCCAGCAACAAACGAAGACAAGGGGGCCAAACGCTGTGTGGCGCGTAGGAATAATCATCACGAGAACAACGTACAATCCAGAAACCAAGTTGAAAGCTCCGCTCACAACCAATATATGGTAGCATCGAGCGCGAAATTCGCGGCAAAACGGCGCCGATGAGGCCCATTGCCGATGCCATGTTGCACGGTGGCTTCAAAAGCGAAGCGCGTGGCCATGTTTTTTCGTGTTTGTATGTCGCCCAGCCGTGCTTAGGGCGACCCTTGGGTCTCCACATCCTCCAACGGTCTGGGCCGCAGACCGCCCAACTCGAAAGCCAGCGCAACCAGCTCAATTTCCCGAGGCAAAATAATTAGCGTCGTAGGAGCTGAGAATTGTGTTTATGTGTTCCGCCCTGTTCGAACACCCGTTATCGTTGTCACCGTCGTCACCAACATCGTCAGTACCATCATCGCGTACTCCGTTGTCGAAGCTGCCATGGTACCGCGCCCGCCCATGTCGCCGACTCGCAGTGAAGTGCCCGCTGGGAAGTGTCCAACGGTCAGGGCCACCGCGGCCGCGTCGATCGCGCCAAACTAGCTGGCCGCTTCGCGCGCGGGCATATTCGGGCTAGCGCAACCGCAGCCCCACCTCATTTTGCCTAACCTACCTTGAACGGCGGGGGATGTACCACATCGACTGCACCATATGGAATGTACAACTGAGGTAGCACCATCCAAATTGCTCCACATAGAGCGCACAAGCAATATTGCAGCACAGAGACTGTAATATAGACGGGCCGACCTCGATTCTCCTTTCTAAAAGACTAATAGATTCTCCCCCCCCCCGGACTTATCGGTTACCCCGCGCGTGCTGTAAATTACATACGATTCTGACCACATGTCCATCCTAAATATGAACTCATATCATCCCAGCCAAGCCGGGTTCCCCCCCCCTGCGGGTCCCTTGTAAAAAACACTATGCTGTGACATTTTTTGCTCCAACGTAACACTTGTTCATGGATCCCTTGCAAAAAATAGGACGAAGTGCGCACGCGCGCGTCGTGGCGCGCGCATGCCGAAATCCTTCAAAAACCTAGGGGTCCCGGAGAGATTTCAAAATTGAATTTCCCAAAAAACATATAAAAACACATGGTTTCGCAACATATATATATATATATAAACTTACGCGCGAGCTCTTGCGAAATCTTAAGAAAACCATAGGTTTTCCAAGATGTTCACAAAATGCTGCCAAACGGGCTCCGCGCGCGCGCATGTCGAAATCTGTCGAACGCTCTTGCGCGTGTGCCGTCGCGAGAATCCTCTGCAAAAAATGGGACGAAGTGCAGACGCACGCGTCGTCGCGGGCGTATGCCGAAATCCTTCAAAACCCATCGGTTTCGGAAGAATTTCGAAATCGCGCGTCCAAAAAACTTACAAAAACCCAAGATTTCGCAACACGGGTTTTCAACAAAATTGTGCGCGCGCGCGCTCTTGCGTCGTCGTCGTCGTCGTCGTCCTCCCTCCTCCCTCGTCGTCGTCGTCGTCGTCGTCGCCGTCGTCGTCTTTTGTCTTTCCTCGTCGTCTTTGGCGTCGTCGTCGTTTCCGTCGTCGTTGTCGCCGTGGTCGTCCTTCCTCCCTCGTTGTCTTCGTCGGCGTCTCGTCGTTGTCCCTCCTATTTCGTCGCCGTCGTCGTCGTCGTCGTCGTCGTGGTCTTCACTCCTCCCTCGTCGTTATCCTCCTCCCTCGTCGTCGTCGTCCGTCGTCGGCGTCTCGTCGTCGTCCCTCCTATTTCGTCGCCGTCGTCGTCGTCGTCTTCGTCGTCGTTGTTATCGTCGTTGTCTTCTCTCCTCCCTCGTCGTTGTCGTCGTCGGCGTCGCCGTCCTTCCTCCTTCTTCGTCGTTGGCGTCGTCGCCGTCTTCCCTCCTCCATCGTCGTTGTCGTCGTTGTCGACGTCGTCGTTTTTTCTCCTGCCCTCGTCGTCGTCTCCGTTGGCGACGTCGTCGTCGTCTTCGTCGTCGTCGTCGGCGTCGTTGTAGTCGTCGTCGGTGCCGTCGTCGTCGTCGAAAACATTGGAGACGTCGCCGGTGTCGTCGCAGTCGCTGTCGGCGGCGCCGTCGTCGTCGATGTCGCTGTCGTCGTCGGCATCGGTGCCTTGGCCAAGTGCCACGGAGTACCTACCGTCACGGTCTTGTCTGAAGATGTCTTGCGACCAAGTTACGGGTGGGAGGGTGGGATGTTTGCACGAGCAGTGGAGAGGACAGCTTCAAGACATTCGAAGTGGATTGCACAACGTAGATTCTCCGTTCTGAAAAACTAATAGATTCTACCCCCCGGACTTATCGGTTACCCCGCGCGTGCTGTAAATTACATACGATCCTGACCACATGTCCATCCTAAATATGAATTCATACCATCCCAGCCAAGCCGGGTTCCCCCCCCCCCTGCGGGTCCCTTGTGAAAACACTATGCGGTGACATTTGTTGTTCCAACATAGCACTTGTTCACGAATCCCTGGCAAAAAACGGAACGAAATGCACACGCGCGCGTCGTCGCGCGCGCATGCCGAAATCCTTCAAAAACCTTCGGTGCCGGAAGGATTTCGCAATCGAGTTTCCGAAAAACATACAAAAACACATGGTTTCGCAACATTGATTTGCTAAAAAAACTTCCGCGTGAGGTCTTGCGAAATCTTAAGAAAACCATAGGTTTTCCAAGATTTTCACAAAATGCTACCAAACGGGCTTCGCGCGCGCATGTCGAAATCTGTCGAACGCCCTTGCGCGTGTGCCGTCGCGAGAATTCTCTGCAAAAAATGGGACGAAGTGCAGACGCACGCGTCGTCGCGGGCGTATGCCGAAATCCTTCAAAAACCATCGGTTTCAGAAGGATTTCAAAATCGTGCGTCCAAAAAACCTACAAGAACCCAAGGTTTCGCAACACGGATTTTCAACAAAAGCGTGTGCGCGCGCGCTCTTGCGTCGTCGTCGTCGTCGTCCTCCCTCCTCCCTCGTCGTCGTCGTCGTCGTCGCCGTCGTCGTCTTCTGTCTTTCCTCGTCGTCGTTGTCGTCGTCTTGGCGTCGTCGTCGTTTCCGTCGTCGTTGTCGCCGTGGTCGTCCTTCCTCCCTCGTTGTCTTCGTCGGCGTCTCGTCGTTGTCCCTCCTATTTCGTCGCCGTCGTCGTCGTCGTCGTCGTCGTGGTCTTCACTCCTCCCTCGTCGTTATCCTCCTCCCTCGTCGTCGTCGTCCGTCGTCGGCGTCTCGTCGTCGTCCTTTCATTTCGTCGCCGTCGTCGTCGTCTTCGTCGTCGTTGTCATCGTCGTCGTCTTCCCTCCTCCCTCGTCGTTGTCGTCGTCGGCGTCGCCGTCCTTCCTCCTTCTTCGTCGTTGGCGTCGTCGCCGTCTTCCCTCCTCCATCGTCGTTGTCGTCGTTGTCGCCGTCGTCGTTTTTTCTCCTCCCTCGTCGTCGTCTCCGTTGGCGACGTCGTCGTCGTCTTCGTCGTCGTCGTCGGCGTCGTTGTCGTCGTCGTCGGTGTCGTCGTCGTCGTTGTCGCCGTCGAAAACATTGGAGACGTCGTCGGTGTCGTCGCAGTCGCTGTCGGCGGCGCCGTCGTCGTCGATGTCGCTGTCGTCGTCGGCATCGGTGTCGTGGCCAAGTGCCATGTGGTACCTACCGTCACGGTCTTGTCTGAAGAGGTCTTGCGACCAAGTTGCGGGTGGGAGGGTGGGATGTTTGCACGAGCAGTGGAGGGGACAGCTTCAAGACGGTCAAGATTAGTTGCACCGCGTAGATTGCACCAAGCAGGCTGCCCCACAGCGAACTCATCCATAAAGTGAGCCACGAAAATCGCAACCCAAAGATTGCATAACATGGTGTGCACAACGCAAGATCTCCGTCTGCACTAAGCACGTCCACCACCAACAACAAAACCCCCAAGTTTATCGATTCACCTTGGCGGTATGCAGCGTACAACTGATGATGCCTCATCATTCGTTTTGCATATGAACGTATATCATCCAAAATATGCCAGACCCCCCCCCACCATCCTCGCCGAATATCACTACGCGCGCACTAGTTTCAAAGGGGATCAATTCGCACGGGTCCTTCGCAACAACAAGAAACGACGACAAACACACGCGCGCGGTGTCACGCGCGCGTGCCAGACTCCTTCTTTCAGGACGCATGCGTTTCATAAGGCTCCCAACACGAATGTCCCAGACATAGCCTGTTCGATATAGAAACCACGTGGGTTTGCATTCTGGCCTTCTGGAAACAACCATACGCGCGCGTTTGTTTCGCGGTTTTTGCACATTCCGAACGAAACCGTCGGTGCTTCAACATGTCCAGCAAATTCGGCAAGCGGGTCTCTCGCTCGCGCATGACCAAGTAATTCGACTGGCCTTGCGCGCGTGCTGGGGTGGGGTGAGGGGGGGTGCGCGACTCCTGCCATTTTGTGCACTGCGGACCACTCGCGCCCATCGGCCGCGCGCACGTGTCGAGATCCTGCAACAACTTGCATCACCGACGCAAGAACACCATCGTCGTCATCGGCGTGATCATTATCAACGCTGTCATTGGACAAGCCGTCGTCAATGTCATCACCGTCACCGACATCTTTACGATCATCATCATTATGTCAGCCGTTGTCGTCGCCATGGTACCGCGCCCGCCTGGGCCACCGCCTCGCATAGAAGTGCCCGCGCGTCGAAGCGGCCAGCGGAACACGCTGGGAAGTCCCCAGCGGTCAGAGCTACCGTCCCCGCGTCGGTCGCGCCAAATTAGCTGGCTGGTCTGCGCGCGAGCCTGCGCGCGCAAGCGCGGCCGCAGCGATGCGCCAGCCAGCGCCCAGCAGTCATGACAATCGCCGCCGCATGGGCTTTGCAAACCAAGTTGCGGGTGGGTGGGTGGGATGATGGCGCGAGCACTGGAGTTGCCAACTCACTGCGAACGGCATTTTATAGCACCACATGTATTGCACCACGTAGGCTGCACAACATGACTTGCACAACACAGGTTGAACAACATACATTGGACCACATAGACTGCACCACAAATAATGCTCCACATGACATTAACTAAAGATATTGCACCGCATAGGCTGTCTCACATAGATTGTACCACATGTTGTGCACCACGTCATTTGGTAGAAAAACAACGTTTGGCGTCCACGCTGGCTAACATTGGTTGAGAAAACCTTTCTCGGCGGTGGACACACCTCCCTTTAATAAACCACCCTGTAGTGAAAAAGGCCTAGAACCGAAACCGACGGACCTGGACCCGCAAAAATGACGGCCAAAACGCCCTCTCGCGAACCGAAAACGGCCAATTGGCTAATCGACGTGTCAGGGTAGGAGGTCTCTCAACCTCCGCCTTTTGTACAGGGGACCACGCGAATGAAATCTCCCACTACATTCTCAACTGCCCATCCAGCTCATTTTCCTCCTGTCCCCACCTCGCCCTCCCATTTCCCTCCCCCCTATGTGCTAAGGATTTTCGATGGAGATCGTTCCCCGAGGACGTACTGCAAACTCCCCTTCCTTGACAGCGGAGGAATACCTCGCTAATTTATGAGAAAACCTCGGGGAGGTGGAGGTGAGGTCGTCCAAATGCCTCCCCACCACCCCGATTCTCACCCATTGGAGCATCTGGCGATCGTTCAGGACGTCAAATCGGATACTTCGCGAGCGCTCTCGGCGAGGCGCATCTGCTGGCAGGCATCCCGGGGCGAGAAAACCTCGAAGAACCAATGGGAATTGCAGCACCCACCACCCCTTGGACCCCCTCAGACATCCTCCAGTATGACTTGTTCATTCCGCGGGCCCAGAAATCTCCTCTCCCAGGTGCAACTCTGCGCCATGCGCCCCTATTTGACGGTCCCGCGTCCCGACAACGGACCTCGAAGGCAGAAATCGAGGAAAACCCAGGAGTGCCAAAAATCATATCGTCGTAGGCCTGGGCCCGACGCAATGCCTAACTGGAGACCTCCCGAATGTGGTCCGAGCAGATGGGGTCGGAGGATCGCGCCGCATCGCCAAGACACCGCCGATGCATCGGTGATGCATAGGCGACGTCGGCGACGTCGACGCTGCATCTGCGACGTAGGCGCGGAGAAAAGCATGCTCCATATCGAGCCACATCGCCGATGCACAGGCGATGCATCGGCGATGCGGCGCGATCCTCTGACCCCATCTGCTCGGATCCCATTTGGGAGGCCCAAACTCGCCTACACGCAAGAGTGGCCCTGTGCAAGAATGACCTTTGGTGCGCGGCTTCAGGGTGGGGCGCGAGGGGGCCTCAACCAAGCGCGCAAGCCTCTGCTACCGCCCCTCGTTCAGCGATCGGGAAGAATCCGTGAACCCGCACCAAAGGTCACTCTGGCGAAGGGACACTCCCACTGCAGGCGTACGTGCAAGAGCCCTACGTGCAATCGATAAACCAATGCACGTGCCCGGACCTCGTCCTCCGGGCCGAAGCCCGCCTGGCGCGCGAGGCCCCACAACAGCGCTGGCGCCGCGGCCGCCGCGAGCGCCTCGGCCCCGAGGGCGCGGCCGCGCGGCTCTCCGCCCCCTTCCCCCCGATGGAAGAAACAGCAGTCCCCTCCGGTCTCGTTCCATCCTTCTTTCCTCGCTCTCTCCCTTTTCCTTTTCCCTCCGCCTCCTCCTCCTCCTATTTTGAAGCCGCGCCGCCTACACGTGGCAGGCAAAGAGAGGATATCCCCGAATGAGGTACGGACGGAGACGAAGCGGGCGGGTATCGAGGGTTTGGGGTATACATGTTGAGGAACACGCGAGCAACAGAGAGCGAACAAGATTGAAATGAAATGTTGTTGTTGCTGTTGTCGTCGTCGCCCCCCTGCGATCCCCCCGCAACTGACCCCGCCCCGCCTTTGGCCTCTGGGGGCCCTCGCGTCGTGAAGAAATCACGGCGGAAAATCTTTGGACGTTTCTGGCCTCTGGCGGCCCTCACCAGGCCCCGAGACCGTCAAAGAACTGCCCGAGATGGAAAACCGGGCCCAGGGAAGGGGTCGGGACTTCCGGGGGGGCAACGCACTGCAAGAAACAGCTCCTCGGACTTCTGAGCCCTTCGCCTCCTGTGCCCTCCCCCTTCTCACACGCCCCACAGGAGAGTTCCGCGGTCAATGGCTGCGCTGGCGCGGCTATGTGGTGCAGTCTAAGGTCTAAGGAGAGGAATCGTGAGCAATCTACGGGGTGCAGTCGAAGCGCCAACCAGCGAACCGTACGCCCACTATGGGTCCATGGGCGGACACACTTCGAGCACCCAGACGGCACAGGGGCGCGACTGGCGTGAACCCCAGCAATTCCGGCCGATTTCTTACGAGCCGGCGCACCCAAGTGCAAGTACTGTCTGGAGAATCGCAAAATGCACTTGAATTCCCTGTGGCATCCCTTGTGGGGTGCGAATAAATGGGGTCGGAGGACCGTGCCGCATTGCCGATGCATCTGCGCCATCGGCGTGAAGAAAATCGGACTCCACGTCGAACCGCATCGCCGATACGCCAGCGACGCGGCCCGATCCCCCCCCCTCATCCGGGAGGCGTTGGTGGACTTGTGCTAAAGGCCCCTCCAGCGAAAGGTCAACCAACTGGTTTTCGGGCCACAACTTGGGTGCCCGGCGTCCGTGCGGGACGAGTCGGGCAACCCTAGAATGTGCTCTCGGCGAGGCGCAGCTACTGGAGAGCATCCCGAGCCAGGAAAATCTCCAGGGACCGGCCGACGACGCCCGACAACCCAGGGCCGCCCTCAGAAAAAGCTGGCGTGGACACGCTCTTCGGGTCCCGGCTTGTGCGCCCCGAGGCGCCAGTGCCAGAAGCGCATGGCACCGCCCGCAGGGAATCTGCAGCAGCGTGCCGCTGCGCTCCGTGCGCCGCCGCGGCGGCCGCGTCCACAATCGGGCGGCGGGCGGGCGCCGGCTGCCAACGCACGGGCGGGATGGCTTGGCCGAGCCGCCCGCCGAACTTGAGCTGAGGTGCTACCAGCTATCATGAGTGGCGAACGCATCCGTCTCCCCTTCCTCGCGGTCTGGATACACGGTAGCATGGGTACGTTCCACGCTGGGCATCTGCGATAGAACGCCCCATATCCACAGGGCCGCGACCATGGGGCCCAGCCCGCGAGGCCGTGGATACGGATATGTTTCTCGCCCACGAAACTATACACCCCTATCAAGAGGAGAGGGGGCCTGACCAAACTTAGGTTGAGGGGGGACCTGGGTCTGGTTCAGCGGATTCCGTCAGAGGGGGAATCCTAGACCGAACCTGGTGAGCACTCCCCGTGTTGGTTTGGTGAGGGTATGCTTTCCTCTGGCATCACTTCCCCCTCTTCCCCCCAGACCCCGTGGCCGCGGATACCCTCTGTCTGGAGCTGCGTCGGTGGACGGCCCAACCTGGGGAGGATGGCGCCATGAGTAGCACCAGCCCAAGATATTCGACCAAGGTGGAAATAGGTTGCGCGTAGTGCCGAAAGGCTGATTGATGACCTCGTTGGAGAAATAACTCATGGACTCGCGGCGACTGAGTGGTAGATGGCAATGCCGCGATGAGGCAGAGAAAGAACAGAGAAGATCCGATCCGAGTTCAAATTATCCAAGGGTCTGAGCCCCCCTTGGCCAGTTCTTCAACCAGTGCTTCCCTGGCGGCGCGCAGGAGTGACCCACGCCCTAGGCAGGAGTGTCCTCTGGTGTGCGGTAGTCTTCGGGGGGCGCGGGTGGAGGGAGGCGAAACCCCAGGCAAACAGGTACGAGCGCGAACAATGTCAAGCTGTTTTCGGGGGGACACCCTGTGGACCGCAACAAGGGTCCTTCAGGCGAGAAGTCACCCCACTGGCTTCCGGGTCACAACTCTGATCTCTGCCGGCCGTTCGGGACGATTCGGTCACCCCTGGAACGCTCTCGGCGAGGCGCATCTGCTTGAGCGCATCCCGAGGCAGGAACACTTCCAGGAACCGACCGAACACATCCAAAATACCCGAGTCAGAGACCTTCAAGAACAAGCGAAAGGCCCGTCTCACGTGTGGCCGATCCTGAAGGCCGCCTAGATGGGGTCGAAATAGGTGGAGTAGGAGGATTTCGCCGCATCGCCAAAACATCGCCGATGCATCGGCGATGCATCGGCGATGCATAGGCGACGTCGGCACTGCATCTGCGACGTCAGCGTGGAGAAAATAGGCTCCATATCGAGCCACGTCGCCGATGCACTGGCGATGCATCGGCGATGCGGCGCGATCCGAAACCTAGAGGTCCTCACGGGCTAGCGACCTCTTGTGTGCTCTCCTCGGCCGCGCAAGGCGGGGGGCGTGCTTGTACGGGCAGGAGGGCCAGCTCGGGAGGGGCGTCCAGAGGCACGGGGCAAAGCTGGCGCTGCACGCTGCAAGCATCGGCTGCGGGGAATCCGGCCAGCCTTCGGAGAAGCACAACGTGGCTTTGGAGACAGGCCTGCTGATCCTTCTGAGACGGCCCGCCCCCTTTGCATTCCCCCCTGGACACGCCCCGAACACTGCGTGCGCTCTGTTTCGGGCACGCCCCAACATGGATAAAAGATCCGTCGGTCTGGTGCGCGGGGGCCAGAACCCCCACCCCCGAAACATAAAGCCAACGCCGCCACATAAAGCACTTGGAGACGGAGCGCGTGGAGTCTGCACGGAATCGGGACCCGTCGGCAATCAGATTGCTAGGCAAGAAGATGCGGGGACAGCAAGCGAGCAAGCGACCACAACCACATCGAGGACACACCCTGGGGGATGTCTTGCACATGCCAACAATCGTCAGAACACCGAACCTAGCTTCGTACTGGCTGTGGTCGATGATGGCGTCCCAGGAAAGCCAAATTGACCGCAACCACAACCCAAACGTTCATGTCGAGGTCGGTGGATTCTCTCCCGGGGGGGCCCTCAAGAGAAACCTTTCTAGATGTGGTTGTGGTTATTTGTCAGAGTGAGGGGGCTGAACCGAGCGGTCATTCACTGTCCCTGGGTGCGTGGCTGAAGTGGAATTCCGCGATGCGGATTATTGTTGTTGCTGTTGTTGTTGTTGTTGATGTTTTGATGTTATTGTTTGTTGTTTGTTGTTTGTTGTTTGTTGTCGTCGTCCCACCCGCGACCCGCCCCGCGACCCACCCGCGACCAACCCCGCGACCCACCCGCGACCCACCCGCGACCCACCCCGCGACCCACCCGCGACCCACCCCGCGACCCACCCGCGACCCATCCGCGACCCACCCGCGACCCACCCGCGACCCGCCCGCGACCCACCCCGAGACCCCCCCGCGACCCACCGGCGACCCACCCGCGACCCGCCCGCGACCCACCCGCGACCCACCCGCGACCCACCCGCGACCCACCCGCGGCCCACCGCGACCCACCCGCGACCCGAACGCGACCCACCCCGCGACCCACCCAACAGTTTCGGCGCCTGCGGCGGGTTTCTTTTGCATTCGTTCCAGGTGGAGAACCTGCGACCCATCCACGACCCAAACCGCGCCCGCGACCCACCGTGACCCACCCGCGACCCACCCGCGACCAACCCCGCGACCCATCCAAAATGTTCGGCGCCTGCGGCGGGCATTTTTTTGCATTCGTTCCAGGTGGAGAACCTGCGACCCACTCGCGTCCCAAACCACGTTCAGTGTACAAATCAAAGTTTTCGGCGCCTGCAGCGGGCTGTTTTTGAATTCCTTCCAGGTGGAGGTGGAGAGCCCGCGACCCTAACTACGTTCACTGAACAAGTCAAAACTTCGGCGCCTGCGGCGACCCAAACCGCGTTCAGCGTACAGATCAAAATGTTCGGTGCCTGCGGCGGGCTGTTTTTGAATAGATTCCAGGTGGAAGTGGAGAGCCCGCGACCCACCCGCGACCCAAACTACGTTCACTGAACAAGCCAAAATTTCGGCGCCTGCGGCGGGCTGTTTTTGCATTCGTTACGGTCTGGCCCACCAGCGATGCCCCCGCGCTGAACTTGCCAGAGCACGACGACGACGATGGTTGTTTTCCTCTGCAATCCCAGAGGGCAGGACCGATGCTACTGACTTAGCGGCCGCGACTGCGGCTGCGAGAAACATCTCGCGGGGCTGCTGCCCTCGCAGCAGCCTCCCGTGCCTGAATACGTGCCACGAGTGCGAGCATGCCTGGCGTCTGAGGCAGGGACTCCATCCCGCGTAGAGGCTGGCGAACTTCAGGCGGGGGCGGCAGAGCCGCCGCATACTGCATGTAGGCCGATCCGCGGCGGCTCGACACGCTGAGACGTGACCCCCCCTCCCTATAATGAGGGTGCTGGCCTTCAAAGGTACGACGGAGGGTCGTGGGGCCCCCCGCAAGTTTGCGCAGCGGGCAGTCACGGCCTAAAAGGTAGCACCTCTTGGCCGTGTAGGCCGCACAAGTAGTACAGAAAAAACATAGTAAACTCAACCTCGTTTTTGGTCACACGCGTATGAGCGAGCGTGTGGCCTTTGCTGAAGTCGAAGGCCCCCCGCCAGGTCTTGCTGGGACCAGGGCAGCCGATCATGGGCCTGGTGGAAGGGTCTTTCCAAAAGGCAAGGCATCTCAAGCAACGCGCTCGTCCTTCCTCGAGGGGCCCGCACGCATGCCAACCCCCTGATTTGAGGAAGCGTGCGCGAGGGCCCGAAGGAGAGCGTTCAAACCGTTCGACCTCGAAAACGCACAAAACTTTGGCCAAAACTCTGGCGGCAAACTTCAGCCTGACTAAATTCGAATCGATGATGTCCGAATTCATGTTCGAGGGACGGGGGTGGAGAGAGAGGGCGTGCTTGGCGAGCGAGTCGGCGAGACTGTTGCCAACGGCGATCCTCTTGTCCACGGGCGAGAGCGAATCGATAACCTCTTTCGACCGATGCGCTGGTGTGTGCTGCACAACAATGTCATGATCACGTTTTTCATGAAGCAACGCCCCTCGTCGCATTCCTGCGTAACGGTGCTTGGCCGACGTCTGGTGCGTCGGGCTGGAGAGGCAGAGCTTGACCACAGTCATGCAATCGCTGATACGTGTACCCGTGTACTCTACATAGATGGGCAGACAGGCCATGGCTTGGTGCTCGGCTGCCTGAGGCGTCTGGGGAAGAACGTCCCACACAGTTCCTTTAGCGTAGGCCACAATAGTTTCACCTGGGCCTAGAAACACCCAGGCATAAGAAGCGCGGCTAAGTTCGCGCACCGAGTGACGGAGACAAGATCCGTCCATACACACTTCGCACCCTCGCAAGTCGACGGAACCCCACGCAATCTCGGCCCCCTCGGCCGAGTAGAGGGTGGGGGCGGGGTTGTTAGACGGAGGAGGGTGGAGGGTTTCGGGGCGTTCGAGTTTAAGCTCATCCCATAAAAACCGATCTTCACTTTCCAGGGCCTCCTGTAACAGCTCTAGCTGTTCTCCAACAGCTTCGGCACGAGCAGCCCGTGCGGTCTCGTGCTGACAAAGCCACCCGCGGTGTCTGATGCTGTCGACCTCACCGCACAAGGGGCATCTACCATCGCTCTGGTATCCTGCGGCGCGAGCTCGCGCGCGGGTCCAGACTCCGCTACAAAAAACTGAGCTGGCAAGGTATTTTTCCCGATCGCTCAAAACCTTGGACTTGGGCCCCAGGAGTTTTTGCAGCGGGTCAAGGGTCACACGAAGGCCAGGAAAATTCAGGAGATCCGAAGCCAGTTTCCGTTCAAAACTGCGCTGGGTGGCCAACCTAAGCAAATGACTCACCATGCTGGGGGAGTTGAAACCTAGGTGCACTTCGCGGCCGTAGTCATCCTCCCAAGTGAGAGCAGACGTGGCACACCACCCCACACGAAACAAGCACAAATGCATTCTCTGGATGGGCCCCCTCGAGCTCTTCCAACTCACATCTTGGTCGAACGGCACTCGGCACCACATCTGACAAACTTCCTTGACCGAATAGTGCGAGGTCGAGGGAGAAGTGATGGCCGTCCAAACGATAGTGGCCCAATGAACCGCAGGGGCCACGAGGACGCGGACGAGGAGAGGAGGAGGAGGAGGAGCAGGAGGAGGAGGAGGGGAGGGCGCAGTCGACAAGGAAGGTGAGGGGCGCGAGGTCTGCCAACTCGACGCCCGCGTCGCCCGCGACCGCCCCCTCACTCAGATCCGCAATTGCGGGGTGCTACGTAGTGCCCAGACAAAATCCCCTCCCCCCCCGAGGGCCCACCCTACCCATCGATTGGTTACTCCTCCCCCTCCTAACCCTCCCCCGAGCTGACCTCCTCCCATTCACTCCTCCTCCTCCTACTGCGCCTGCTCCTTGAATTCTTGTTCCACTTCGGACGCGTTGGTGTGGACATTTGCAAGATAGCTGGACCACGCCGGAAATCCAAATAATATAACTACCACTGCTTAGTTCCATACACCAAGAACACAACCTATCACAATCGAGATGTGCTCCACGAGTTGACGGGGATCCGCAGCAGAGCGTTCCTCACTCGCCCTGCTGATCTGTGGCGATCGCTTGGCGAGCGTCCTGCATGTCGGCGCGGTGGCGACCTCGCCTTCAGTGGCCTAGAA